TTATGACAGTGTCAAAATACTTTGGGCTGCATGTATACTTAAAACACTAATTCCACCCATACCAACTCAGAAATAGCAGCTAGGAATTGTATGAAATTTATGATGGTAAGTATAGTATTGATATACAGTATGTTTTTTTACAAACCTTTCTTTTGCTAAGCAGCTCTGAAAAATTGTTTGAAATGATTGGATATAAAGATCAAGAAAGCAGTGGTTCTCATTCACACCCAGATTTTCAAAGAAAGTCAGAACATTTTAGAGGAATGCTGGTTTTTTAAAATCCATTTGGAAGTAACCCTGTCTTTGGAAGCTTAGATAAAAGTTGTAGATTAAGTGAGGCAATGAAGTCTTTAGTGTTACAGCTCAAGCTTATCATATTGATTACATCAAAGAGAAATTAATTTCAAAAAAGCAACCAGAAATTACTCATTCCATTCCTGTAACTGCTGAAGAAGAAGGGAAACAATCAGAAGAAAGTTCAATGACAAATGAAGAATTAGTGTTAATCATTGAATCATTGGTTGGAACCTTGAATAAGGTCAATTTGCCACAGTTTAAAGGATTTAAAATCAAAAATTGCATTAATTCTGCAACAAGTCAGAGAACTTCATAATAGTGAGGAGGTATAAGTTAATGAATCTGGGAAACTTAAAAAAATTATGTATATTAAAGATAAGTAAAAAATATGTATATTTATTGATTGCTACATAGCAAAAAATTGTATTAAATATAACATTTTAATATTGAGAATATATTTTTTTTTATAAAGCAAATACCTGTCCGTATAATCTTTATTAGAATACAGTAAATATTGAGTACACAATAAATTATAATACACCTTTCTAATTTTAATTTATATAGATTATTCCTCTTTGAATAATTAATTATTAAACTTTTAGAACAATTTGAGAATATTTTTTATTTTTTATATAATTTATATTTTTATACACGTGTAACACAATTGTTTATCATATTCTATGAAATTCTAGAAGGTCGATTATTACAGTATTTAGTAATTCCATATTTGGTATATTCCCTGACTGTTTTTAATTAAATAATTTATATATAGGAGTGATTTTCACCAGTGGCGAAATTTAAAAAATCATTCTAAAATCTATATATATGAAAAGTACTAAAATAAATATAAATTAAAATAATAACAGTAATAACAACCATGATAACAGTAATAATAATAACAACGATAACAATTATTAAATAAATAAGGACTCGTAAAAAAAGAATTAAAAACATCTACAATTAATTATGTAAAAAATAAATATAATAATATAAATAATATTGATAATGATAAAATTATGAAACAAAATAATAATTTTTTTTATCCTAATGCTTTTTTCAAATCATTCCATTTTCGTTTCAACACTTCTCTTTCATTCTCACTCTCTGCATACCTCATCTTAATTTCTATTAACATATTTTCTAAACTTGAAAGTTGATCCTCCAATAGATTATTTCTTTCTACCAATTCAATATTCTTTTTAGCCAAATCTTCCATTTGATCTTGTGTTTTACTTTCAATTTCTTTATGTTGAATCTCCAAATTTCTACGCAGATTTGCAATTGTTTGATGGAGATTGTCATTTTCGTCTTTATATTGTGCAAGTTCCATCTTAGTATTAATGAAATCATTAGCGAGTTCAACATGTTCACGGTCAAGTGTTTGTAAGCTGCTTTCAAGACTTTTGATTTTACCAGATAGATGATTATTATTAACTCTTATTCTCTCAGCTGCTTCTGCCTCTGCTATGAATCTTTTCTTCTCATTTTCTTGATGTGTATAATAAGCTTGTTGATATCTATTAAGTTTTTTGACTGTGATTCGAATATCATATGCATCTTTAACAAAATCATTAGTTTTATATTGTGTTTCAGTTATCAATTGTGCCAATACACCAGTAGGGGTAAACTACAAATATATTAATATATTATTATTATTATTATTATTATTATTATTATTATTATGCTATTAATTATTGTAAAAAAAAAAAAAATAGCACGAACCTGGTAACTTTCAAACAATCCACTTTTCAAAAATTCCAATAGAGGTTCAAAATTCAATTCAACAATTTTTTTTTCATTTCTTTTCAATAGTGCAATACTGAATCGGAAAATAGCCTCAATCCCCTCAGTGAAAATTGTATCGTATATTCGAAATACCAATGATAATGGAAATTTGTATGCGAAAAGTGTCATAAACCATTGTGATGCATACATTGATGAGTTTATTCCTTGTGCCAAAAGATGACTGTGAATTCTGGGAAGCATTTCTTCAACCAGAAGATCAAACTGGAAAAGACGAAGTTGAAGACCGTCCATTCCTGGTACAAAGTGGCTTCGCATATTGTATTGTTTCATTAATTTAACAAGAACACAAAAGGCCTCTTCATCTGGCATCTAATTATTATCAATAAATTATAAATTAATTAGTTATTAATTATTATATTTACTATAATTTATAAAATAAAATAAAATAAAATAATAAATACATTTAAAAGTAAAGGTCCAACAACAAATGATATGCCTTGACAATATCCAACTTCAGGATCATAAATCGAATATGCTTTAACAACGTTGAATAAACCTTCTTGACCTATTCCATCCTGATTCCGGAAAAATTCATGTTTTGGAAAGGTTCTATTTAAATCTCTTACAATCATTTTTTCATGAGGGCTTGATTGTTTGAGCAATTGTGAATATTTAGCTTCCAGTTCAGCATCTTTAGATTTAGACATTAATTGCCATATCATGCCCCGTAATGCTTGCGGGATTCCTTTTTGAATTGCTTTGGATAAATGTCGTGATTTTGTTCTTGCAACAGTTTCATAATCTGATATAATTTGTCCCCAAAAGTCTTATAATAATTGATATTTGTTTTAAAAACAATTATGAATGTAGATGATTAATTAATTAATAAATATAAATATATATATATATATATATATTATAATAATTACCCCAATCTATATCATCATCATGTGAATTTACAATGGCTTCATTTTGTACTCTTTCAAAACTACGTTTTAATTCTGCAATTCCTTGTATTGAGATTCGTTTTGCCTTGGGATCTTCTTGCAAAATTTGATTTTCTCTTTCAATTTTAGCAAACAACAAATCATAATTAGATACTGAAGATACTGTAGACACATTAGACGTACGACGCGAATCAAATCTTTCATTAATAGGTGTAGTTATTGTAGATGAAGTACTTGATCTTGAGCCAAACAATAATGATAAGTTTTTTAATGAGTTGGGAGTCTTGGAAAAAGCCCATTCCTGCGAGCCCCATTCTTTAGGTGACTCTTGAATATAATTGTCATCATCCAAAGATACATCATTTAATTCAGGATTTTCAGCAAGAGATGCAACTGAGATTCGTTTAATTTTGTCAGTTACTATATGTGCAAGAGGATTCTTATCCATGGATATATCTGATTGTTGATTGATTGAAATTGAAGAAAAACTGGATTTTGAAGTTCTCGATTCAAAATCAACCCTGTCGTCCGATGAACTAGATGAAAAAGTGCTAGTAGGTGATTCTTGTCTATCATCATCATCATGATCACTAACTTGTGAATTTTGAGTATCTTGAATGGTTTGAATCTTTTGAACTGATTCATTATATTTTCCAATATCCTGCTCTAATAATGATGTTCGTTTTGGTAATGAATTTGATGATTCTTTAATGGTATCTTCTATTTCGACATCTTTTAAATTGTCTACTACTTTATCCGCATTTTTCACCATTATATCTACTTTATCCTTTTTATTATCATCATAATTATTGTCATAAATGTCATTATTATTATGGCTATTATTTTCATTAATTATAATATCATTGATTATTTCTCCCTTTTGAACATTTTTTACATTTTCTATCTTTAAATCATCGTCTTTATCATCATCTTTATTATTACCATTATTACCTTCACTAAATGCATCCTTTCCACTAAGTTTATCGTCTTTATTATTGTTATTATTATTATCGTCAAATGCATCATTATCTTCACTAAGTGCACTAAGTTTATCGTCTTTATTATTGTTATTATTATCGTCAAATGCACCATTATCTTCACTAAGTGCGTCATTGTCACTAAGTGCACTAAGTTTATCGTCTTTATTATTGTTATTATTATCGTCAAATGCATCATTATCTTCATTAAGTGCATCATTGTCACTAAGTGCACAAAGTTTATCGTCTTTATTATCGTTATTATTATTATTTTCGTCAAATGCATCATTATCTTCACTAAGCGCGCCATTTTCATTAAGTGTATCATCATCTTTATTGTTGTTATTTTCACTAAATGCATCTTTAATGTTTTTTCCTTTTTCAAAAACCTTTACATTTCCTTCTACATTTAAATCATTATCTCTACCATCAATATCTATATTATCAATATACTTATTGTCTTTGCCAATAAAATCCTTTTTAACTATTTCTTCTTTTTCAGTATTTTTTATATTTTCTACCTTTAAAACACCATCTTCACTATTATTATTACCATCATCATAATTATCATCATTGTCATTGTCATTGTCGTCGTCGTCATTGTTATATTTATATTCAAGATTGTCATTTTCTTCTTTCTCTTGTTGAGTATCCAGCTCAAATATATTAGTTTCAATATTAGGGTTGATGACTGAAGTCATCTTGACTTATTAATTATTATTTTTAAAAATTTATCAATTAATGAATGAATGAGAGTTGGAATTGTTGCGAGAAAAATTAAAGAATTAGGTTTAATAAGTTGTTGGCAATCAAAGCTCAAGCTCTTATTGCATAACAAAAAAATAATATGGGTATGTGTGTGGATTAAAAAGATTGTTATGTAAATAAAGAAAGGTTGTGAAAAAAAATTAATTTTTTAATAAAGTAGATCAATGTTTATATTAATATAGTTAACCGAACCGAGCAGCAAGAAAAATTTTTAATAAATTTTTTTAATTAGTTACGTTACACGAATTCGTAATTGAAACTAGAAATGTCTGAACGAAATAAAGGAGTTTACGAAAAAGGGCCAGTAAGAAAAATTTTTTTTGAAAAAATTATGCTCTCAGATCTTTTTTGACCTTTTTTTTTTAAAAACATTGTTTCCAGCAAGACACAAATTTTAGACGTACCTGGGACAAATCAGAGTATGAACGTCGTGCAAGAGAGAGGTCCCGAAAAGAAAGGGAACAAGAAGAAGACGAAGATCGTAAACGTAAAGGACAGAAACCAAAACATGTGGATAGTTCTCCAATAATTGAACCTCCTCGAGAACTTTTAAAAGCTCGTACTGAGAAGGTTGTTCTCGATACCAACTTGAATAAGACGCAAGTTGTACAATCTACGAGCGTTGCATCAAAACAGCCTGGTTTTTATTGTAAAGAATGTGATTGTGTTGTCAAGGACAGTGTAAATTTTTTGGATCATATAAATGGAAAGAAACGTAAGCTATATATATCATATTTTTGTTTTGGAAGAAAGAAATCTAAAGTTTAATGTATAGCTTAATTAAAATAAAGCACCAAAAAACTTTCAGATCAAAGAGCTTTAGGTATGTCTATGAAAGTTGAGCGTAGCACAGCAGAACAAATTAGAAATAAGCTTGCTAAAATAAGTCAAAAAAAGGAAGGACATCAAGAATATGGTTGGTGACTTATCCTTCTATTATTATTATATAATTGTTTTGATGTTAACACAAGATAATAATAATTTAGACTTGGATGCAAGGATAGAACAATTACAAAAAGAAGAAGAGGAAGAAAAAAGAAAAAGAAAAGAGAAAAAGAAAAAGAAAAGGGCAGAATCAAGTAAAGAAGGCGAAAAAGATGATTTTGGAGATGTAGATCCGGAACTAAAAAAATTAATGGGGTAATTGTTATTATTATTATATGTTTTTCTTTGAATATAAACATTTCTAATATATTTATTAATATATAGGTTTAGTGGGTTTAGTTAATAATGATATAAAATAAAATAAATATCTAATAAATATAAATTATTAATGAACTATATTTATAACAACAATGATGAGTTTTTTTTAAAGCCATAATGCCTGTTTTACTCTAAATCCAACTTAGTCATAATACCAGTATTTTTGCTAGCTTCTTCCAAACCAATATGTATAAAGATATATATGCGTGCGTGTGTGTGTGTGTGTTAATTAATATCCCTACCATAAAATGATTTCATCTAAAAATTAATTAATTACCTGATAATAGGCCTTTCCACTATAAAACCAGCATTTTCTGCATTATCAACTTCTCAACAAGCTCTAACAATTTCATCTACAACTTCAAAAACAATTTGTTGACTCGATTTTTTATGCGTTGATTGACCACCACCAAGTCTAGTGTCACTATTACCACCATTACCACCATTACTATTACTGCTATCATTACTATTAATATTACCAGCTCCACTGACTACACCACCACCACCACCACCACTAACAACACAACTACCACCACCATCAAATTTTGTAGCTTCGCCGACTAAATTACTTCTAAAAGCTTTGAATGCCATAAATCGTTGAGCTCCTTGAGCACTATTGTTGTTGTTGTTTTCGTTGTTATTACGCATACTACCAGTATTTAAACTACTTGTTTCACCAGATGCTTGATAATAAACTACAAAATCGTAATTATCCTCTGGAGAAGCACATGAAGGATACAATGTCGATAATATATACTCGTCTATTTATCAAGTAACAGACAAATAAAATAGAATATTCATTAGAATACTTGGTAATAATAATTATTATTAATTGATAAATTTTTCTCTTTTTATATAATATATGATAAGATTAATTGATTAGTTGGTTGTATTTGCCTTTTTCAATACAAGTTATTTCCCCTAAACCAATTCTTTGAAATTGCATAACTTTTTCGAGACGATAATGAAAAGTACAGACGTATAATGCTTTTTTTGTTAATATTATAACCTTTTCTTTATATGATTTTCCTCTCCTAAAATAAATTTCATGTGTAAAGTTTTTTCTCGATTGATTAGCAAACAAAAAAAAAATTATATATATATTTTATATGTTTATTCATACAATGTATTTGGTTCAGATGGTGAAGGAAAAGTCCATCCGACTAACTTTTCAATTATTACAATAGAACTACTTATTTCAACTGAAAAAAATAAATAAAAATGAAGTTAATTGATAAATAAATAATATTTATTTTTATTTATTTTTAAAAAATTTGCTTGTAGCTCTAACTTTTGTTTATTTATCAATATTGCTCGGTTGTGAAGCTTCAAATTTTTGTTGTATTTCTCGAAAAACTTCAATTGTATGATTTCCAAGAATGTAGTCAATAGTAGACTATGATAATGATTAATAAAAAAATAAATAATGTTTATAATAATAGAAAAGGGTTATTTATATTTATTTGAGTTTACTTGTCTGAAAAAATCTTTTAAAGTATTTTGAAATAGCCTTGCTAATGAATTTGATACATCATTTACAACACATTGTAAATTCTTTTCCCTATATATAAATATATATATATTATCATAAATTCATTATTAGTTTTTTAAATTTAACTAATTATTTTAATTATGTGTAATGATTCTTGATGAATTAAGTTACCAGTCCTAAAAATAAAATATTTCATTTATATACAAATATTTTATCAGCCTTTATTTTATTGATAAAAATATATGAATATAGCATACAAATATATCATAAATAATAATACCCTGTATAATCTCCTTTTAATGCACTTGTGCCTGCATACTCACGACTTATCAAATCACCATTATTGGCCCAACCTAATAAATAAGCAAATAATGAGATTTGGCATTCAGCATTTAAATTTAACTTTTAACAAATAATGTCGACTTTTTGGGAAAAAAATAACAGAATAATAAAATTAATAACAAAACATATGATCATTAAATATATTTTCAAAATGTTCATAATGTGATATTCTATAAAATCTGAAACCCCTAAACGTAGAAGTTGCAAATTTAAAACTTCTCTTGCAATTGCATTCTAATGTTTGAGAGTAGAAATATTAAAATATGGCAAAGTATTTATAGAATAATATTTTTATAAGTAAACTAATAATCAATCATACTAAGTGATTGGATTTACCTGTTCTATCTAAACAATCCATATAGTTCTATGAAATGGTAATTGAATTTAGAAATATTATTTGAAATTCTACAAGAATGATAAATAATAATAATAATAATAATAATAATAATAATAATAATAATAATAATAATAATAATAAATTGTGTGATATCAAACCGTACGAAAAACTCACTCTTGACAACAACAAATTTCAGAATCACCTGCTTGCCAATAATATCTAAAAGTTTGTAGAATAACAATAATGTAAATCACAAATGAAAATTAAATAATAAATGCCTTTTAAATGGTAGTAGACTAACCTTATTGAATTGAAATTACAATGAAGTGATGATACATGTTTTCTCCTAAAGATTGTTCAAGAACCGGCTTTGGTTTTAGACTGTATGGTGATTGAAACCAAAAAATTGGTACTATTATTAAAAAATAAGTTATGCTGTTAATATAATATTTTAATGGTTATAATGATCATAATTAAACTTGATAAATAAATAAAAGGCAGCTTTGAACCTACTAGATCACAAACTTGTAAAATGATACTAAATGAAGAATATCATCTACCTAATATAAAAATCATAGAACAAACATGGTTTTTACAAATAGTATTAATTGAATTTAAAATCCCAAATTAATAATAATAAAATGATAATAATAGTAGTAAAATAATAAGATGCCTTTATTGATATAATTTGTTCTGTTTCCACAAAATTAGCAACATCACCATTTTTCATTAATACCTCTACGTTGATATCTTAAATCTAAAATTGAAATTTTTTTAACATATAGTTTTCCTCCATCGAAAAATCCAGTCATATACTCTCACATACTTTATATCTATGGAATTTTTTCACAGGTGAGACCTCCTATGTGTCGAAAGCCTTTGGAAGTCACCTTTAACAATGCTGCCATTTCGATAAGCCTCAGAGCTACGCATCCTCCATGAAAATTTAATTGCATCATCGTATCATCGGGGCTCAGGTCATATTAGCCTTATGTATGCGAAGAATAAGAGAATAACTGTAATGTTTTAATATTTGAGCCCTGAAGAAATACACTTCAGCATTTATAAGTTTCCATCCAATGATCAAATGTTGTATATCGAGTTGTTTCCAAATTGTCCAAGCACACGATATCTCCAATAGTTGCGTTGCTTTTTTCGCCTCAGGCATTTCTTATCATTGACGTTAACATTAATAATGATCAGTGTAACGTAGCGGGGCTTTCTATTTTATGGAATGATCGGCATCAGTTACACCACATATATATCATATGTAAAATTTGCATCGCCTGACTTTAAATCAATTGTTGGCCACCAAAACCGATTGTTGAACAATATAAACAATATATTCTAATTTTTCAACTTCTATTTTATATATTTTTAAAGTAATTCGGAAAAAGGTGAAGTAATTCAGAAGTTAGCTTTGAAAGACTTTTTTGCATTTGGTAAATCATATGTTTACTTTGAAAATAATAAATTATTTAACAATCACTAGAGCCGTAAAGAACAATCTTAATAGAGAGTTTAGATTCTGTTTGATATTCTGGTTAGTGATTTGAGATGTTTTTGAATAAATAAAACGTTTTATTTATTTATTTAAATTAAATTAAATTAAATTAAATTATTGTTTTTTATAAAAAGCTGAAAAGGTACATTAATAAACGTTAATCATATAACTCTTACACTCTTCTATAGATCTAAATAACATAAAGGATCGCTGGACAAAAAGAAGGTATGCACAATGGTTGTAGAATGGTTGTGATTATGTCTGGTGTGTTATTAGTTTTATGGTGAATGCATGAACAAATTTAAATATTTATAATTTACTTAATATTTAATAAGAATCGCATAATAGTTTAATATATTGTAGGTAGTGAGTAAATGATACATTTATCGATTATATCAAACATCAAATTTCATTCAACATATTATTTTATGTGATGGGTGGGATATGCTGTTTCTCTCAAATTAGTCATTTTGATATGGGATATTTGTACCATATGTGTACTTTATTATATATTTTTTTCATTGCAATTATTATTATAGCAAAAGTTCCCACATTAATGTTTTTGCTGAATTATTTATTATCAATTACAAATAAAATTATTGTTAAGAATCTATCTATCTATTTTTTATATTATTTATTGTCTTGGAAGTAATAAATAAAAACGATCGGTATATTATAAATTATCAACCAATCACAGAGAAAGCCCGCTATGTTGTATACTGCAACAAGACAAAGTGAAACTTGTGTCACAATGAATCATACATTTTTTTTATTGCTATTTCACAATTGCAAAAACAAAACCAAATACCAAAATCCAATTATTATCGCAAAAAAAAATTTTTTTAACAAAAATGCTGAATCCTAGAAGGAAAACAATAGAAGCAATAAAGAAAAGAATAAAAAATCTAAAAGGAATATGATATCAAAGATGTAAAATAATATTAGCAAAAGTAATAATATTAGGATAAGTCAGAATGACAAATACTTATCAATGGCTTCCTATGCAATTGCTCTGGTGGTTTTTATCTTATATTAAAATCATTACAGTCCTCCATAAGTGCACCCTTTATAAATGCACTTCTCTATGTTATGCATTTGCACGGTCTTTTCCTGATCCTATACAAATATAAAACCACCCTCTTTAAATGCACCTCGTGACTTTCACGTGACCATGTTGTAATAATTTCCGTGTTACGCGCATGATGTTTTAATAATTCAAGCAATGAATTAATTCTTTCATTACAAGTGATCAATTCTTTCTTTTTTTTAATAGATATGAGAACAACAGAATGACAGGATAACAGGATAACAGGATAACAGAATAAGAGAAGAAAAATACACAAACAATAAATTTGACCATATTAGATGGATTGAACAAAAATGGTGGGTTTTACCTATTGAAGATCTTGAGATGACTAAGGTGATAATATTTATACATGAAGTCGAAATTAAAACCCCAAAGTCAAAATGTTTCAACTTGAGGCAACTACATAGTAAAATCAGGTTCAACCTTATTTTGACCAGATCTGAAATGGTCAAAATAGTTCCGACTTCATGTATAATGGTATTGAGCCAATGATAATAGGTGCCAAAGAAGCTTTAAAAAGTAACATTTTTAGAATTTTCTTCTTGTATAGACAATTTTAATGCGACTGATAAATTTAAAGGTTTATTAGTGTCGTGTGTAACCAATAAAATACTTTAGTTCTGATTGGAAGGTTGACTGTGTGTATTTTTCTCTTATTGAATAAAACATTGCTTGTTGTTATTTAATCCTTTACTTGAATGCAAATATCTTTGTTTCCACTATTGTATCATGTCTATGATGTTAGTGCAATATATTTGATGTTGTTATTTGTAAATAAAATTTAAGGAATCAATTTTATATGAGGCCTACTGTAACAAAACCAGACAAAGTGAACATTGGTATTACCAAATATTTCAGGGGTCAAAATTTAGTACAATCGGTGATTATAAATTCTTAAAATGTAACAATTTCTTAATCAAGTTTTTATCAATAACATTGTCCAAAATAATAAGAGATTATGCATATGATCATGGATAATCAATATATTGAAAAAAACTTAGAACTTTCTAAATAAAAGTACTGAGGTTGAGAAAACTTTCTACTGAATAGCTTTACAACTATTAATAAATGATATACTGTCTAAAGAAATTTTAAAATAAACATTTCTTTTAAAGGAAAAAAAATGTTAACCACGATTTTATGATCTGGACTTTTAAAACATATAACAGCCTAAGAAATCTTTGAAAAAGTTCTTTTTATTTGTAGATATGCTCTTTGATTTATAGTTTTGAGTGAATTATTTTTTATCCAGTGATCTTATATTAAGGTGAAGATTATGACCTTATTATTATAAATTACATTATCTAAAAATAAAATCTTAAGCATAGCATTTCTTCAATATACTATTAGTTTGTTTGATTAAATCCAAATTCCTAATAATAATGTTCTTTATCACCATTGATTCCTCACACAAACCACTAAAATCCTTAATCATTAAATCAGGGTTGGCAAATGTGCAGTCCATTGATGGTCTATTGGTGGTCCATTGGGTCCATTAATGTAACACTTTAACCATATTTAGTATTTGATTAATGGCAATGGACCAGTCAATTTGCCAACCCTGCATTAAATGAATATTATAACTTCTGATAAGCAAATCCATCTTTTTTATCAATGAAAATCTTTGAAAAGGTTCTGCGAATTTGTCCATTAAATATATTTTCAACTTATCTTCTATACATAATTTAAAAATAATATTAGTTAAAAAATCCAAAATATATGAATAAATTATTATTATAATCAACTTATGATAGAAATGAAAACATATAACTATCAATTTTTCTAACACATAAGTCAAAGCATCCTTAATCTCAAATCTGTCTATAAAATTATAATTATGTATATAACTATTTTTTATTTTTTGCGAATTTTGTTAACCTTTCAAAATCTTCATCAATATGTTCTTGCAAATCATTTCCATTATAGAATGGGCCATAGGATCATACATCAGGAAATTTTCCCGCCGTAATATTACATCCATAAATTTTAATATTAATAATAATAGGAAAGATTTCCGGCAAAAAAATTTTTATTTGTAAATATAAAAATAATAAATTTCTTGAATTCCAGATAGTGTATGCTCTATTGAAATCAAAATTCTTTACTTGGTGGACTCTCCAAAGATACTTGCATTAACACATCTAAAGTTACTGTATTTAATGAATTTCATCTTATTTTTTTAATTATATTTTGACAAGAAAACCCTCTTTCACAATCTATAGGTGAAAAAGGAATACTATATACTATTTTAATCAATTTAATTAAGTTATGAAATATATCAGAATAATCATTAATGAAAAGAGGAAGCATTGACTGCATATATTTTTTGCCATAATTATATAAAACTATAATTTTAAAATTATACTACTCTCATCATAATTTACTGGAGGAAAAAAAACTTCTTGATTAACTTTCTTTTGTTTTCCATAAAAATTTAATAAAGTATCTAATTCATTATTTCCATAATTTATAAATTCAATAGAATCCTTATCAATTGGATTTAGAGTTTTCATTGCTTTAATAGAGAACATTCGGGAAATCTTTCTTGTATTTGGTTTATAACCATAGAACCATTTAAATTGAACTAACCAACTTGAATTAAATTTCTTTTTACAAGCCTCAATTTCTTCTAATATTTCAATAATTTGCAGTTCATTTGTTTGACAATCAAGATCAGAGGAATTATTTAAAATATGTCTCAAACTACCAGAACTATAAAATAACATATAACAAATATATAGTTGAAGCTTGTTAAATTGATTGATTTATTATTGAATATACCTGTGGTTACTTTGATTATTATTATTACTAATTTTTTCAAAACCAAATTGAAATAAACTCATCATAAAAAAAAAATTTTCATTGTTACACGCAGCTTCTGGCAATTCTTAGTAATTTCCGTAATTTTTCAAAGCAGATCATTAATTGCTTATAGTGACAATTAGTCAACTTCAAAATACTAAAACAAAAAAAATTATTTTATTTTAAAAAATTTAACCGATAAATTTTATTGTTCACGATCCAAGCTTCAAAACTTATCAGCTGGTTTTTTCTTAAACTGAAAATTGGCAGAGCCTTAGCATTTTGAAAATTCCGAATTTTGTTATACATTTAAGAA